TTCCAAGAGCTGGGGTTGAATGAGGGTGAGGTTTTTAGGAGCCCAGTCTTTGCAAGCATTATAAGATTTGAGTTTGTCAATGGCGAAGGAAAGACTACATATTATGGAAGTCGTGAAACTAGAATAAGACTATGGTTGATGCAGATGGGCAAAGTATAGAAAGGCATGGTAGGTGGAGAAGAGGCAATTTCACATGAAAGATGACAGATGGGATTGAATGCAAAGAGAAAGTCGAATGGCAAATAGGGGTAAAAAGAAGAGGATTCCAATTAGAAAATCTGATTGAGTCAACACAAAAATCTACGTAATATGAAGGATAAGAAGAAACTGAAGCAACTAGATGAAATAGTGGAGCAACGACGCTATTTTGTTTGTCGTATTTTTGGGCATGTGGTAACCGAGTTACCCGACTCCGGTCGTTCTCAAAGGAAGACTGTTCGGAGCTTCGTTTACTACCTAGTCGTCAAAGTCACATAACCAAAAATGAGGTCCTACACATTCTACTCGCTTGAATGGATTGATTGCACGAAATTACGCTAAGAATCTAAAAGCAAATGATGAGAGATGCAAGATTTAAAAGAAAGATCGAACTTTAGTTGCACAGAGTGTCCATAACTAAATAAAAACAAAAATAAACAAAAAAAATCATGCGAGCATAGTGATTCTAGGTAACCGAACACTAGCTATCTACACTAAATCATCACGCTTGAAACAAAGTCGAGATCTTTACTAGATTAGCACGTATTGATTCCTAACACACGAAGCAAGCAATGAGAATAAAGTAAAAACCTTGAAACAAGCATCAACATACAATTCGAAAAACAAACTCAAAGTAGTAAGTCCTAAGTAAGGTACTTACTCTCCTATCGCGTGCCCAGACGAAAATAATGAAGAAAGCTCGAATATGCGTAAAAATAAGCATGCCGAAATTTCGCCAGAAAAATAGAGTTATGAACCTCCAACTAAAACATAAAAAAAATAAAAGAGAGAAAATTGAGAGTATTTCCCAACTTAAAAGTTGGGGAAATGAGGGTGGTGGTGCAAAAATACAAAGGATAATGCCTATTTATAGCTACACCACAAACACACACTAGTAACACACACATTTAATGAAATTGTTTCGCCGGTCTCGAAACATGGTCCGCCAACGAGTTTGGGGTGGGAGTAGTGCAGAAGAGGGTGTTCGCGGGTCGCCAAATGATGTTCGCCTGCGAGTGCAAGGCTTGTGAGCTGCTGGGGCGCGCGTTTGGCGGTCGTGAAGTGATGTTCGCATGCGAGTGCTGCGCTTCTTGTGGCTTGTGCGTGCTTCGCGGGTCGCGAGCGTGGGTTCGCCAGCGAGTGCTGGGCCAAGCTTCCTTGCGTGGGCGCCTCGCTGGTCGCCAAACGGACTTCACGACGAGTGCGGATGTGCTGCCTTGGACTCGAACACTCGATTAAATGGCCTGGTTGGTTCGCAAATGGTCCGAATAGCTCGAATAAGGAACGAACATGGCTCAGAAATGTCTCAGAAAAAGCTCGTCCTCCCGACTCGACTAATGTGGACCTAATCAACACCAAAATACGCAAGAAAATACGACAAAATACAAAACACATAACGAGAACAAAATACACAAAACACGATAAAATGACCGGATGACACAAAAACTATTCCAAAAACGACTCGATCGAAGCACATAAAACACAAGAAACACCACAAAAACATAACAAACCGTGGTGTCACATTTTTCGCCTGCATTAATGTTTCTTTTCAGCGGCATTGTGAACAGTTATGGTCTCTGAATACCAACTGACGCAACGAAAATGTTTGGGAAAATAAGAGATAAGACTCTCAAAAATATTCTTATTTCATAAAATTTGACCAACCCGTCACAACAAAGAAGAAGCCAATAAATGGAATCCCATTAAGTCCTTTATGGTTCAATAACTAGTTTCATGTTTTTTTTTTTTTTGTTTTTTTTTTTTTCTTTTGTAGTTTGTGTAGGCTGCTTGATAAGTGTGCTAAAGAATTATGTGAACTCTACTGTTTAGTAGTATTATCTAGGGGTGGGCACGGTTCGGTTAACCGAATTTTTTGAGGTATTTGCTAACCGAACCGAACCGAGCAAATATTCGAACTCGCTAACCGAAATCGAACCGAAAATCTCGGTTAACCGAATTTTCGGTTAACCGAAAAAATCCTACTATTCGCGAATTAACCGAACCGAACCGAACCGAGCGAACCTAACACAAATCTGCTTGTTCGCAAATAATAAACCGAACCGAACCGAACCGAAAACATTAATATAAATATAATATATTATATATAATATATAATATAATATAGTATATATTTTAATGAAATATATATTTTATAATATATAATATATAATATAATATATATTTTAATAAAATATATATTTTATAATATATAATATATAATATAATATATATTTTATAAACTTTAATATAATATACGGTTCGGTTCGGTTAACCGGGGTAAAAAAATCTTAAAAACTGTAACCGAACCGAACTGAGCAAATACTTCATTTGAGGTATTTGTAACCGAACCGAGTCCCCCGGTTAACCGAAAATTCGATTCGATTTCGATTCGGATCTACGATTCAGCGGTTCGGTTCGAATTTTTTGCCCAGCCCTAGTATTATCTTGCAGTTGTTTAGACCACATTTGCGTGGTTCTTTCTTTTACTTCTTTGTATTGACTGGTTGGGCTCTCATGTACTTTTTAGAGTGTGATTGGATATCAACCCAATCCAAAAAATGAACCGCACTCAAATTTAACTCAACCTTGCTAGTCTCAATGTTATCCATATATATATTTGAACAATACTAATTAATCATTCTTAAACATCACATCAATTTTACTTAACTAGTCATCAACTCACATAAGTTTAACCAATTATCATTTCACATATTCTCTCTCTTACTTTTATATTAAATCAACTTTAATTATTTTATTTATATATATGTTAAATATAAACTTATAATTTCACTATCGACTAACCATATCACATTTTCAAAATTAACTATGGTTAACAAAAAAATCAATCAAAACCAGATCAAATCCATATCCAATCACAACTTAAATATATAGCTTTTGGTTGAAATTCGAAACAATCTATCATTTCGGGGGAAAAACTCTCAAGAAATGAATAAATAATAATGAACACGAGATAAAAATGCAATATCTTATGTTCTATTTCAATTATCTTTATGTCACAAGAATTGAAGAAATAATAATGAACAAAAGATTTACAAGATTTTGGCGAACATACTTGATTTTTTTTTTATATATATATTTTATGATATGATTTTAACTTTTAACTATATTTTTTTAATAATATTGAAACCATCATATAAATAAGTTTAAAAGGATAATTTAGATAGTTTTGTCGAGTCACTATGCAAATTATTGGTTTGAGAATAGAAATCACAATTTCCACAATATGTACTTTTTTATTAGAAAATTGTTAAAAATATAATAGAGTTTTGTGGAGTCTCGAAAAATGGATCAAGTATCATAGGGCCTGAAAGATAAATTCTTTCAGTTCGTGACCATGAAACTACCAATTTTGGGCCCAAAAGACTAAACTTATCGATTCAGACTTTGATAGTTTCAGATCTTTGGGTCTTTAATATAATTTATCTTTCAAATTCCGAACCTAAACTGATAAACCTCTATTAATAAGTAATAGATAAAATAAATAATTACACATTAAACATAATATTAATTTATATTATAAACTAGTGTATAGCACGATACATGTAGTAAATTATGATATAATAATCTATTAATTATCACATCAGTTGATGAACATATTAATTAATCTAATAATTACACTTTTGGCATGTGCAATCTTCCTACACGATCTTAATTAATCATTTGGATAAAGAATTGAGAAAAAGCATTTATTATGTCATAATTTTACTACGATTTTGTTTGCACTTATCGACAAAAAATGCAATTCGATGCCCTTAAGCCACAAGTCCCAAACCATTTTCTTCACAACAATGCTTTTGCTCTCCTCCCATTCAAAATCGTGAGAAATGTTACGGTACTATTCCGTAGATTTGTAACTGGCAGATCATCTTGTAACTCTCGTAGATAGTTGATCTAACGATTACAAATCTGGACGAATTGGTTCCGTAACGGAGCGTAAAATCTCCCCAAAATCCTATTTATATCAGCACTTCAGTAATTTAGCATATCCAATAATTTAAACTCGCTTATTTTGATTAACACGAGCTAATCATTCAAACTCCAAATCTTAAGCAATCTGCACGGCCCATCTCTCTCTCTCTCTCTCGCTCTCTCTCTCTCCCAACTTTACTCTTTCAAAGCAACCCACAACCTGTTCTTCCATTTCTGGCTTAGCCCGTCTGCAGAAAATATAGTAAGGGTCTTCTGTATCTGTCTAATTTTGTTGCAATATAAATATAAGCTTGTGGGCCGTGCTTCTTTTTCTTCAGATAGCATAGGAAATTGTTTCTTGCTTGGAGAACAACATTGTGATTAAATCTAGTTGTTTCTGGGTTCTTTCTTGAAAAGACTGAATCTTTGTGAGGGGGAAGACCCAGATTTGCATTTTTAGTTAAGATAATTATAAGGTGATTCGATCTTTAGGGAAACTGTTGATGGGAGGTAAATTTTGAATTTGTGTATGTTGTTGGGTATTTACTATTTACCTCTGAGTTATTCGTTTCGAGCTTTACCTATTTGTTCGTCATTTTTGGTTCTCCCCTTTGATTTCTCATCTGGGCTTGTTCATTTATGGTTCCTTGATAAACCTTAGTTGTCATCCTCTCAAATACATAAAAGGGACCCATAGAGGAGAAGCTGTTTCATTTGTCGGTGGAGATAGAGTACTCGTAGCTCTATTAAGATACCCTTTATGCATCTTTCGTTGAGATAAAGGAGTGCTTTTTGATACTCAGGGTAAAGCTCTCTGCTTTTTTTTTTTTTTTTTTGGCCTTTCTGTAGTCTAGCTTTAGAAAGCAATGACAATGAGGAAAAATTTAAACCTTTACTCTGGAAGAATATTCACAGACCGGAGGTGGAAAATACCGTGTTTTGTGAGTTTGCTTGTGTCGATCACAATAGTTACCGCCACCATTTGTGGGTTGCACGTGTCCCCGTATGCCCGAGATCCACCCCAATTTGATAATGCAACTTTTGTCCGTCAAAACAACTCGGGAGCGTATTTTGTAGAAACTGACTTGAGAAAATCCTTAAAATCAGTCGAGGCCTCGGAATTAGAACCCCCGAGGCTCGCTTATTTAATTTCGGGCACGAAAGGGGACAGCAGAAGGATGATGAGGACTTTGCAGGCTGTGTATCACCCGAGAAATCGGTACATTCTCCACATGGACCTCGAGGCCCCGCCCAGGGAGAGGCTGAACTTAACCATGTGGGTGAAGAATGACCCGACTTTTAACGAGGTGGGGAATGTGCGCGTGATGGCTCACTCCAATTTGGTGACGTACAAGGGGCCCACAATGATCGCTTGTACACTCCAAGCCATGGCGATTTTGTTAAGAGAGAGCTCGAGCTGGGATTGGTTTATTAATTTGAGTGCTTCCGATTATCCACTCGTGACTCAGGATGGTGAGTTGTTTGCCTCTTCCCTGTGTGCTTATAGCATTACTATTTTGTTTACTCAGTCTTGTATTTTGCTTATGCATGTTTTGTTTTATAGTCTTTACAGAAAAGTGTATGTTCATGAAATTTTAGTTTTATTTATACTGTTTGTGTGCCTTTTTGCTCCGTCGGTAGTGACTTGTAAGTTTCTAAAATTTGTGTGATTTTATAGCTTGCAAAAGGAGTTACAAGCGGTGGGAACTGTGCATATTATGAAAATTCTTGTTTAAATACCAGTATCATCTTTTCCGTGAATGATATATCTAGGTTATTTATTTGTTTATTTAGTATGATGTTAGAAGGCACAGAGATTGTAACTCTGAAAATCAGATTCTGGAAGATAATAATATTAGCTAGATGTGCCAAGTTTGCAACATGTCCCATGAATTTAGTTTGGGCAGAAATTGAAAATCTTTCAGGTTCTTACTAACACTTAGTCTAGTTTTAGTGAATATCTTGAGCTTTGATAAATTAAAATTTTGGTGAATTTCTCTATTTTTGGTTGAGTACATTTTGCTTCCTGTTTCTTGTAATTAATTGTCTTCATGAGTACTGCAGATTTATTCTCATAGCTCCAATCCTTTTCTTAGAGTTGGATATTTATTGATTCTCAGGTATTTTGGTCCTCAGATAATGAACCCGTGTTTATTTTTCCTGCAGATCTGCTATTTGTTTTGTCCAACGTGTCACGAAATATCAATTTTATCGAGCATGGACATCTAGATTGGTGGAAACTGTAAGTACCTACTCCGAAACCATTTACATTGCTAATTTCGATCCAGCAAATAGATTTCATTTTACCATTTGAGTTTCTGATTTTTTTTTTTTTTTTTTTTTT